GTGGACTTATTACCGAGTTTTGCATAAGTTTAATTTAATGGTCATCGAACTTTCTCAAATATTTTTCAATTACCATTGAATTTTAAAATTTCTCTATGTTGCCATTGAACTTTCCTAAATGTTTTGAACTTTAAAAGTTCTCCAAGTTGTCATTGACATTATTAAATTGTTCTCCTCTGCTACCATCATTGGTTGTTTAAAAAGTTAACAGACTTGACGAGCTTATCAAAATGTTATCACTTTCATACTTTGCCTACCATGTCTCTAATCCGTTAACTTTTAAACGGTAAGTGATGGAGTGGTGAATGAGATAACGTTTTTGTAAGTTCAGTAGTATTTAAAAAAAAAACTTTACAGTTCAATGACAACTAGAAAATGTTTCAAAAAGTTTAGTATAAACTTTTTAATTTTAATGACAACTGAATAATGTTTGAAAAAGTTGAGTGACAGTTGCAATATTTACCCCGCTTAAGTTCAAATAGAAGTTCACAAGATTTGCTATGTTATCGGATATCCGATCCGATAATCCGATTCGAAATTAATAAAAATTAGGAAAAAAATGTTCTTTAAAAAATTTTGAACTAATTTGAGGCCCCAATTTTTTTACTAGCAAGCCCAATAGTGACTTCTACTATCATGATATTCATTTTTAAAGAATAGATTCTCTTGTAGTTTTGTATTGACGATGTGGGATAAGGTAAAATTGAATTTCAATTCTAAATATAAATATATTATTTTATTATTTCATTTAACAAATCAAATTATTTATTACATATTAATTATTAGTTTTTGAAGTTATAAAATAAACTACAATAATAAATTTAATTAAGAGAAATATAGATATTTATTTACTTTAAATTAGTAAACTAAACTTTAAAAAAATCTATTATTTTTATAATATTTTAAATTTATGTGTATAGTTATTTATTTAATTTGACAANTTCTATACCAATTCAACCCCGATTTGACTTTTGACCCTTGACCCTCTTCCTTTTCTAGGTGAATGCGCCGATCGGTTTTTAACACATTGGTTGAAATCAACTTTTTTTCTTCAAATTTTTCAATTCTTAAACAAGTATAATAATTATAAAATTTTCAACTTTTTATGTTTTGAATTTGATTACTTTTTTATTCTAAATTTATTTATTTTCTCATTTATTTATGTTAGTAATAAATAATATGTCATGAAAATATTTTACCGACTCAATTATTTATAATAAATCGGATCGGATTATTATCGGATCAGATTGACCTATATCCATATTTGATCTATTTAGTTAACAGATTATCGGATTCAGATCTTGATCAGGTTATCGGATTCAGACCCTAAATCTATCTCCCATTAATTTCATCGGATTCGGATCGAGTTCGGATCAAAATTCAATCCATTGACAGCCCTATCTACAAACTAAAATACAAGTGATGTAGTTATAAGTGGATTGGGACTAATTGAAGAGTTAATTCTACAAAGTATTGTTTTCTGAAAGTTATAAATTTACACTAAGTTAACTCGGAAAATAAGTCTCTTCCGGATCTGAAAGGCTGACATCAAAAATGCCAACGCGGTCATAAGCATTTTCATAAAGGTGCCTAATTAAATTAACTCACCGTTGGGTATGATTTTTTTTTTTTTTATACTCAATAAGTCTTGAACTATGACGTTTGTACCGATTAAAGTTTAGTTTTATAAGCTTTCACCGAGAATTGAAATAGGGGATTACTACCACGAGATGGGACCCAAAACTAGTAGCTCAACGCATTCAATTGTGATGGCCCGTTTGTAACATATTTAGCCCGTTTGTTGTTACATTAATTCTTTTTTTTTTTTTGTTGACGTAGGAACCCGCAGCCACTAACCGCCACGGAGCCCCAATCACTGTGAGTGCGCACTAGGTAAATCTCGCTCCATGTGTAGTAGCTCGCAAATCACACATGAGAGGTAAACTGCACTAGGCAAGTCCAGTACGACGGGCTCAACCAAATTGTTACCCTAATTCTTGCCCTATTTATGGGCTGCCCCCCTTTGTGTGTAAAAATTGTAACGTAAGTGTGGCTTGATTGTGAGAGAAAAAGGAAGTTGTTTTTTATGTTCTTTGTGAGCTTTGCTTCGTGTCTTCCTTTCTTCTTCTCCTTCATGTAAGTTGTAACCATTGTCACATTCCTTTGTGGAATAATCCCTTATGGATTTGAGTCCTTTGCGGGCTAGAAAACAAGAGGCAACACAAGTGATTCGGGTTTGAGTTTCAATTGTTGGAGTAACCTCATGGTTGATCAAATTGAGCCTGCTTTGCACAATTTTTGAAGATCATTTGGGAGATACTTTGATCAACAACAATTGGTATCAGAATGATGGTTAGTATAAAGCAGAAGAAAACAGATCGAGAAATAATTAAATCATCCAACCCGTAGTTGCAATTCCATTTTTCGACGGATCCAAACGTCTGGTTGAGGAACGAAGACCACATTACAACTTCAAATGACGAGATGAAGCCCCTTGATCGGTGCATGGAGCCTCAACATGTTTGAGTGTGAGGCCTACGAACAATGACCGTTGTCGCGTACTTTCTGTTAGAATTATCACATGAACTTTACCCGTTTGACCATTTCCTTTATCCGATATCACGAATCTAACGAAACCTGGAGAATCTAAAACGGAGTATATTGTGACCTTAAGTAAGTTTGATTGACTATTCTAAGAGATTTGCGCCTCTACATCATTTCTTGATTGTATTATGTATTTTGTACACTTTTTGGTAAAAATGACAACTAGTTTTGAGACGGGTGTTTTCCATGGAAAATGTGATTTTTCTATTTGGCAACAAAAGATGAAATATATTCTTATTCAACAAAAATGTTTTCAAAGCAATTGATGACAATTTTCCTACAACTTTAATTGAATATGAGAAAATGGAAAATGATGAATTGGCTTATACTTCTATTATTTTACACCTTTTCTGATACCGTTTTAAGAAAAGTTGGTAAATACAAATTTACACAAAAAATAAGGATACTTTAAGTATGTGAGAGATACTTTAACACCTGATATTGTCATAGATTCCCTAAGAAGTAAGGATATGGAGTTGAGAGCTGAGAAAAGGCAGAAATAGTGGTGAAATTCACATGATGAGATGTAGACTTTAGGCTTGACATGATGGGAATTGAATAAATCAATACAGGGGCTACTCGAGTGATTAAGGTGGTAAAAAGAATTATAGAAGTTGTGGATATGTCTAAGTCGAGAATGAATGATAAACGATATTATAGTTGTAATAAATTTGGACACTTTATAAGAGACTGTTCTAAAATAAAAATAAATAGAAAGAAAAGATGAAAGGTGATGCGAATGTTGCCACTTGATCTAATTATTATCCAAGTGAGGTTTATTGATAATGAACTCTCTTGTGGCTATTACGCATTTGCATTTGTGTGAAATCTCATTTGTATGAATGATTGTTTGATTCTGGTGCATTGTCTATGTTATATTTTATTATGTTTGGTGTGTACATTTGCATAAATTTAAGAGAGATGATGTTATTGTGTGTAATGTATTGCTTGCATAGTGGTTAGGATTGCTGTTATGAGGTTTGACACTATGTGTGCTTTCACTTTAGTAGGTGTATTAGTAGTAAGTAGGCCTATTGGTAATATGAATAATAGATGCATGAGGGTGCATTGGTGACTTGTATAGGGGATGCATAGGATTAGCATTTGATTACAAGAGATGAGGTGATTAAGTATTTTTGAATCCTCTATCTATTAGAATCCTGATCGGGTGGAGTGGAAGTGAGATTCTTATCGCCACTATTAGGTGGAGACCCATTATTTACCTAATTTGAGAGATTTGAGGTAGTGATAGGGGAGCGTCTCACTAATTCAGAATTTTTAGTGGTTTACTAGTTAAGCATGCAGAATAGCCAATCTAGTAAGTATTGTTGGCGATGAGAGGAGAGACACGTTTTCTAGATACGAGCTACACAGAATGCGATAGGATAATTGTGGTGAGATCTTTTCTTGTGGTCATTTATGCATTGATTGCATATGTTGACCATTTATTTTGATTAACTTGATGTTAATTGTTGTTCTCCTATGTGTTGAACATGTTGAAAATTTGTGTGTGTTATTATGTGCTCTTGATTGATCAATATGTATATCTGATTTTGTCCTAAGCTCTTGGTGAGTACATATAACAAGTATGGTATGTGTTTTGGGTTTAAGACATTGGCGAGATTTGTGATTTCCAATTTTATTTAGATACCTTGATTAAATATTAACTCGGTGTTGTTAGCATGTAGGTTTATTGGGTATCAAGGTGGAGATTTGTTTTATTTTTTATTGATACCCAATAATTCCCGGCCTATCATGTTTGTATCGGTTAAAGTTTAATTTCATAGACTTCTGCCAAGAATTGAAATAGGGGATTCATACCATGAGATGTGACCCAAAATTAGTAGCTCAAATCCATTCTCTTGTCATGACCTGTTTGTGACTTGTTTGGCCCATTTGTTGTGACCGTAATTCTTGCCCTAAACTATATATGGGCTACCCCTTTGTGTGTAAAAACCGTGACCTAAGTGTGGCTCGATTGTGAGAGAAAGAGGCAGACGCTTTTTATGTTCTTTGTGAGCTTTGCTTGGTGTCTTCCTTTCTTCTTCTCCTTTCTGTGAGTTGTAGGCTTGTAGCCGTTGTCACCTTTCTTTGCGGAATAATCCTTTGTGGATTCGAGTCCCTTGTGGGCTAGAAAATAAGAGGCAACACAAGTGATTCGGGTTTGAGTTTTACTTATTGTGAGTAACATCGTGGTTGGTCAAATTTGTTTGCTTCGCACCATTATCGCAGATGGAGATATTTTGATCAACACTCATCAATATCAATAGATATCTACTCTATTAATCAGAAGACACGAAAGAACTGGAACAGCTAATCCACATGATATACCTACAAATTAAAATTCTTGCTCCTCTCCATACATATATTTTACAATATTCTTATGAAAAATGTAGTCAAATTGAAATGTCCATCATTCCCGCTGCCAAATTCTCCAGCATTAGAGCTTCTACTTCTCTATTGCACAGCATCTTGTTTCCTGTGATTTGAAACCAAATTATCATTAATTAATATGTCTACTATGAATACAAAGCAATTAATTACAGAATCTAATAGAACTCACCATAGAAAGATGACGTTGTGAGATTGTCATTAGTTTTTGGTAGCTTCTTAAGAGGGCAGGAAGAAAGTGGAAGAACTGGTAGATTTTGGCAATTACAAATTTCGATCATATAACCATCTGGATCATGGAAGAACAATTGATCCACTGATATGCCTCCTTCTTTCACCACTGCTGTCACATATTCTATCTTCATTTCTTCCAATTTCTGAGTTATGAGTTCCATATCTGAGCATTGGAATGAAATGTGGTTGGCTTTTGGATTTATTTTCTCTTTCTTGCTTAGAACATTTTTTGCAGCTTCAAGCAAATGAATTCCTATTCCATGGTTGAACAACCTACAAATTACATTCAATTTGGGCTAATAATCAAATTCCCACCAAAAAAAGTTCACAGCAAACAAGAAAAAGGT